TTACAGCTCCTGATATTCCCTAGCGATTCACCAGCTAAGTACTGAACAAGATCGCCGTTGCTTGACCTCGCTGATCGTACGGGAACCGGTGTTCCAACGTGATGTGGCCGAAAGCATAGACTTGCGGTGATGTGTCTATGGGGAAACCCAGCGGGCATTGTGAATGTATTGTAGAACAAAGACAAGGATGTTAATGCGTCCAAAGTTACATAGATCAAATGACTGAAGTTGAGAAAAGTCGCCCATGATGCTCCACAACTTCATATATTACGCTCCCACGTCCTGAAGGGACACGGCAAATAAAAGAATGATGGTCACTACACGCAACTAAAGAATGAAAAAAATTCAAGTAATATTTATTATCTTCGGATATTGACGTCTAAAAAAATATCTCTTGCTGCCAAAAGACACAACAAAGAACAGAAGATATAATAAATCGTAGCACGCGAGATTTTTCGAGAACTAAAAATATCGAATCAGAGAATACCAGTTTTGTTGGGTTTTTTTTTTTTCTTTATCTCATATTGCGGATGGGATTTATTTTAGAATGATTTTCGACACCGACAATCAAAAACTATTCGGTATATGCAGATACAGTGTCCTAGACGTAAATAACATTTGCTCACTATGTTCATGAAATAAACAAAATCGGTTTTTAATTCGGTAAGCAGTCAAAAATAAACATGCTGCATAACGTTTAAAAATCCCATCCATTCGTGTGGTGGAGTCATGTTAGACTGATGCAAGCGTAAAGGATTCCACTGACCATATGACTCAACTAATAAAAAGAAAATGGACGAAATGGTCTCGCGACGAATATCAACAAGTCATGACATCACTCTTCACCGCATTCGAAAAACCAGAAAAGAACACAAAGATTCCAATGATCTGTAAAAACAGTTTCATAGAAATAACCCTTAGAATCCTGCGTTCCTGAACATTTTTAACGCTTCTACCTGAACTCTAGGGTCAAAATTCACAAATAATTTGTTGCAGTTTCTTCATAGCTACGTAACGCCATTTTAAACTCAGTGAAAATTAATTATTTATCTTTTTGAGTTATAACTGTCGTGAATGCTTTGAATGACGGTGGCAAACCCTTTAAGGCCATGGCTATTAGCAGCCCATCCGAGATAGTCTCTTCTGATATGGCTATGTCACAAATGCCTTAAAAAGGCATTTGTGACATTCCCATCTCGTATAATATAATCTGTTGCAGATTCATTTTCTCGTCTCTTTAACGCGGTTAGTTCAGTATATAAAGCAATAATTTTAGGCTTACCTTTTGACAAATAGTGTTCACGCAAAATTTGTAGGGCTCGCCGTCCATTGTCCTTGGCCTCTCTCATTATTAAAGACAAACTCCTGTCATCCAGGAATTGTATTAATTCAGCGAACACGGTCGCATTTCTTTCCATAAAATCACCATCCCCCTTCTGGTCGTCTTCGCAAAGGATGATGTCATGGAGTTTTTGTATTCCTAGGTAGCCTAAGAACTTCGTCTCCCACAATTCATATCTCGATTCATTCCCGTCAAAATATAATAGTGGTCTGCGCTCATAACCAATGTTATTCATCATGACGGTCGTCTTTGGGTATAGAATCCAGAGGTTAGCAGTGAATATTTCGAAGATAGTAGGAAAGCGTTGTTCAGGTTAGCAGTGGATATTTTGGTAAAAGTAGCAGAGCGTAGTTCGTCCTTCTGTTTCTCTTCGCCTGACAAGCTGGAACTGGACATTCGGGTAGAGTAAACAAAATGGCCGCCTTTATACACGACGGATTGAATATTCTACGTCTTCTGATTGGTTAACCTTCTATTGGTGGACTATAAAGTGAGTCAAGCCATTTGGGCTAACTCACTAGTATATATATACGCAAAAAACTGCAACATAATTGGTATGTAATGTTTTACAGTAGATATAAAAATAGTTATAAGTGTTTACTCACTGTTCAACCGTTGGCTGGGCATTACGACATTTTTCTCGACCACTGTTCAACCGGTGGTTGGGCATTACGTAATTTTTCTCTACCACCGGTAAAGCGGTGATCAGGGCTCAATGGTTTAAACCAGCATTTCTTAAAGTTTTAATCATGTCCATTCGTGTGGCGGGAGAATGTTCAACGCTCCCGCTTCTGATGGCATACTTATGCATCTTATGAACCTTAAATTTCCTGCTGTTAATGTATATACTCATTTACAAGACGTACCGTATTTTTCAATGTTTAAGACGCATGTTTGTTTGTTTTTTTTAACCCAAAGTAGCTTGAGTTCTATACACCAAAAGTACGTATAAAAGTAATAAATGCAATTTCCAGGGAAGAAAAAGACTAAATGGTAAGACCCTGAAAATAAACTTTACGACTGTGTTGTGAATTAGAGAAAGCAAGAACTATCTGTCTCTACAAATAGGATCCTTTTTAAAGTAAACATGATTCCATGTTTTACTGGTCATACATTGTGGTGCTAATGTTTCATGGAATACAAAGCTCCATTTATGAGGACCTAGTATCTGTAACCCTTTACCTCGACAGCCTGATAGCAAAAATATAGACTCTGATTTGCATTGCAATATATTCATAAAGATAAAAGTCTGGTTTACACCAGGAAAAAAATGGGCATAAATCTTGTTTGCGATAAAGCAAAAAAGATAGATGGATCGCTTTACATAAGAGTAAAATCAAGATAAGAGAAAATCATGATAACAAAAAATCAACTCAAATATGTGGGTGAATAATTCGTGGGGTGGTGGAGGAATAAATGATTAATTCCATTAAGAATGGTGGTATAAGAAACACAATGGATTGGACCAAGAACGACATTCCTTTTGATCGTGTTATTCAGAGTGGGACATTTTTTTAGAGTGTTTGCCATAACCGACAATCAAAAACAATTCGATAAAGACAGAAATAATGGCTGACTCTTAATTAAAATTTGCTCGCTATCTTCATGGACTAAACAAATTCCGTTTTAATTCGGCAAGAAACAAGCTGTATGAAGTTTAAGATTCCCGTTCATTAGTGTGGTCGGGTAATGTTAGACTGATGCAATGATGAAGGATTTTCTTTCTTTATGACTTAAACGATTCACTCGCTGCATTCTACTTTAAATCAATGACCTGAGAAAACAGTTTTACAAAGATGATAGATTAAACCATCATTTCTCAATCTATTTGCCCTATTTAAAGATATTTTTGTAGGTACAAAATTTAATGATCGAAATAAAAGTATAAAATTAATATTACAAGACATATTAAAAAATTAAAAAAACAAGGGGGAAGCAACCGGTTTCGCTCCCGCTCTTCAGGCTTCAATGGGAGATTCAAAATTAATACAGAAAAAATGTACAATAGAGGAATTGGGGGTAAAAAAAAATTACGTATATATATATATATATATATATATATATATATATATATATATATATATATATATATACACAATATATATGCAGAAGGAACTAGAGACAGATGACAGCGAGTCCCAACAAGCACTCACGTTGTTTGCACCGACAAAAGAAGGCTTGCGGGACCCGATGTAAAGTGCCTCAGAACCTTCAAATGAAATACAAAGTGAGAACAGGCCAACACGGTGAAACAGTCAACACTAAATTTGGCTGCACAATCTCTGCTATTTAAAAGATGTTCGCATATGGCGGAACTGTAGGTGTTCGGGACGAGTCCATTCAATGGCAGGGTGTGGTTTCTAATTTTAGTAGGGACGTGCTGTTTTATATATATATATATATATATATATATATATATATATATATATATATATATATATATAGTAATTTTACGTAGAAAGCATGATATATGGTTATCGTGCCTTCGTCCTGTACACGAATGAAACACTTAATTATACAAGTTTCTGTCTACTAACCAGTCAAGGTGGTTTCACACTAACACCATGTAGACATCGCTAAATACTTTCGCTGTGGTTATGACGACTTTAAATAATAACCAAAGCTATGCCAAGAATATGCCTTCGGGTTGATAGGCATCAGTGGCTCCAAGTTGCTATGCCCCGGTAAACCGTTTCGACTGGCGAGCTAATCTCACGTGGTGGGTTGGTTTTAACATGGCACCATTGGACAAAGGACCTCCCCCCACGAAAGGCCACCGGCCAGGGCGGAAGAGTTCCTCAGTTGAAGTACAACGGCCACGTGTTCGCGACCACGGCGTGTCACCGCGTAGGAGGACATCGACTGTGGTCTAACCTGGAGAGGGATGGGCTCCGCCAGGGTAAAAGGCCCAAAGACCCCCCCCCCAGATGAGGAGCACACAAAGAAATCATTCGCTCTGGCAGTGAATAGTGGATAGCTCAGCACATCGGCGCACCAAAGACTTCTTCCGGTAAAATGGGAGAAAGAAGGAAAAGCAAAAGAAGAAGAAGAGACCGTACGTGTATATTAAAATTATGAATATAAGATTAAGCAAAATTACTTAAAAAAAATCATTATCCTATTTATCACTGCTTCTTCCGGGACCCCTAACAACCTGTTTCAGAACCCTTAGGGAACACCGGTTGATATACCCGGGTTCAGACATTACTGAATGTTAGGCGCCATGCATGATATCCATATGAATGTCTAAATCAGACAAGGTTATTTAAAAACACAACTTGAATTGATTGTATATAGCTGATAGTTTAGACATTTCTGAATGGATTTAATGCTATGCATGTTATCCACATGAGTGAATATCATACAATCGCTATTTAAGAACACAACTTGAATTGATTGTATATAACTGATAATTTAGACCTTTCTTCTGCCAATGGATTTAATGCTATGCATGTTATCCACATGATAGTAGATCCGACAAGGTTATTTAAAAACACAACTTGAATTGATTGTATATAGCTGATAGTTTAGACATTTCTGAATGGATTTAATGCTATGCATTATAGTGAATATCAGACAATCGCTATTTGAATTGATTGTATAATTTAGACCTTTCTGAATGGATTTAATGCTATGCATGTTATCCACATGATAGTAGATCAGACAAGGCTATTTACGAACACAACTTGAATTGATTGTATACAGCTGATAGTTTAGACCTTTCTGAATGGATTTAATGCTATGCATGTTATCCATGAGTGAATATCAGAC